ATGCAATATCTCGATAAATAATGCACTTAGCGAGATTTTGAAAAATGCATTGGATTCTGCGTAACGAGGGCTACATTTTCTCAAAATTTCATTGCCGTAGCACGTTTTAATAAATAATTATAAACAATTGTAAAAACGGCCACTTTTAGAGGTTTTTTCGACCTAGAGAATAAACAAGTGGACGAAAAAATATGAAAAAAATACCAGAATAAAGGTCTAGAAAATGCCTACAACTTTTATTTGAAACATTTTATCGTAAAACTTATACTTTACGAGTTAAAAATTATAATATGCTTTTTTGCATTTTTAAAGGCTTATAAGCAAAAACGCAGGAACAAAAAACAGTGGCATTTTATGAAAATTAGTTTTTAGGGTACCCAGAATGAGAATCCGTCGTACAATTCTGGTTGCGAATTTTTTTTTTTTTCAACATAGGGACAGATTTTCATTGATTGGACTAAAATACAATGTAAAAAATATAATGATATGCTATTGTAAGCATTAACGTAGGGGTAATTTCGTAATCATATAACAATAGTTTAGCAGTAATATAGCAGTAATGTAGCAATAGTATAGCATTAATATAGGGTGAATGCGCCAGTTTTCGGACAGTTAAGAAAAATTCGTTCTTTGCTCATTTACAGAGCTTGTGTATTACGTTTGAAAATGTTTCTAAAGATACCTTTTGATAGAAAAAAAAGTAACCTTTGGAATGAGTACGGACACTTGACCAAAAAAGCTGATGATACTTCTAAAAAAATGGGAAAGCCAAAGAAATGCGAATCGTCCAGTTTTCGACCACCTCACTGAGCCGTCAATGACCCTGAAGTTGGAATTAGGTTAAATTTTTATTTTCGAGCTCTGAAAGCATAATGAATGAAAATACGTGTCTAAAAGTACATGAGAAACCTACTGATGAGCTTCAAATTGAATAAAAAACGTTTCAATAAAAAACGTTTGAATAAAAATTATTTAGAATTATTACAGGTGGTCGAAAAATGGATGGACAATTTTACCGAATTTTTCAATTTTCGACCAAGTCAGAATTATAAATTGAGCTACGAAACAGATTTAATAATTTCCAAGGGAAGCTATAAATTTTCTCTGAAAGTATAATATTTAAAGAATTAAAAAAATATTTTATTACATCAAAATTTGATATATATTTCTATTTGTTTAAATAATATCCTCTGGTGGCCGAAAAGTGGAGAGTGGTCGGTAAGAGGCATATTTACTCTATCACCAATAGAAACAAAATCATTACTTTCAAGAAAGTCATAAGTGGCAAAATTATTCTTGGTAGTAGTTCAGCTTAAGATTAATACTTGATGAATAAGAATGTTTAGATGAAGGGAAGATGGTGCAAATGAGGTGTATATTAAATAAGTTCTCTCTGAGTATGATTGAAGAATAGGTATTGAGTGATAGAAAGTAGATGAATTTTAAGGTCATTTTCTGAAAAAATTGGAATGGGTTGGGAATCGGGTTGCTTGCGGATGAATACAGTGAAGTTACGGAATAATGGTTTGGGATAACTTAGTTCCGCTGAAAGGGCTTTGGTGCACAGCAAATGTACTTGCTTTGGCCAAAGTTGCCATAGCGAGAGTTTGCTTTCACCACCCGTGTTGAAAAGTGTTTGGTTTCGAATATTCGACAGCTTATGAGAGTGAGAGACAATTGTATCGCGCACAACCGGTGAAGAGCATTGAAAAACCAAAGAACGCGTATGACAACTATTTGGATTTTGTGGTTGATGTTTTTGGCTCCAACTTCTTGTGCGAGTTATGAAGCGGGTATGCTGTGGCAGTCCTATATTCGAGAGGGTTTTATCGAGGATGGTCCTGTCGGTGAGGGTCGACTCAAGTGGCAAGCCTGACAGCAGGACCTCACAGTTGTCTGAAAGATGTTGAGGCGCAGAAGAAAAGTCGGCCGTTTGCATATGCTTAATCGTTTCATCGATATGTTGAAGCTCCAGTATTAGGTCCGAGATGGATTTAGCGTTCAGCTTCAAGGCATTCACCTGCTCAGTCAGACGCTCATCTAGTTTGACCACAGCCCTCGCTACGCCCTCTATCCGAGTCACAACTGCATCCATACAATCTCTAATAGGTTTAATACTATTTTCCATACTATCTTCACAACGTTTCAAACTATCTTTCATAATATCTTCAAAGCGCTTGATAATCTGATTCATAAAAATAGTCGCCCACTCAAGAGTATTATTGCTTGAAGATGTCATAATGGTAATAATAGAAGGAAGCAATAATGATTTTTGGACTGATGTTGAAGAATATTGAGAAAATTGGGAAAGAGGTGGAAAGCTATTGAATTTACTGAGTAGAGCTATTGACAAACAGGAAAGAAAGATGTGTTGAGGAGAAATAGGCTATGCAGATGAGAAATAAGAGATGTAATGATACGGTCCTAGCTTAAGTTGATGAATCGATCCACCTAGTCAAGTTCAACTACACTGCCACAAACACTCGCACAAACACAGATTATCAGCGTCACACCAGCAGACGATAGCTTGATCAGAATGACGACGATCCGTGCCCGTTCATTGAAGTAGAGAGCTTCCTTGGCTCCTTGCTTGGCTCTTCCTTTACCTTGAAGATTAGCCTAGCAGACAGATGCTGTACGATGTTGAGCCGGCTCTGTCCGTATGACTTCAGGTGCACGATGTCGAAAACTAACCTCCAATGCCGGTGTAGAATATAAAAAGTAATTTTAGTCAGGGCAAGGGAGGAGCCGTGATAGGGGTCCGGTTGTAATTGACCCTTGCAAAATGAGCGTGCAAGAAAACTGCCCGTAGGCAGGTCGAGGCAGTACAAAAAGCAAGAAATAGAGGAGCCGAAAGAAGTGCGTGATGTCGTACTTACTCAGAAAGATTGATTGATTGATTGAAAGACTTTATTCGGCCACAGGGTAAACCCCATCTGGCACGGTTGTATTTACAAAAGTACAATTGTTTATAACAATAATTTATAGTACCTTGAAGGTATTTACTTTAGTATGATATTTAAACTTATAACTAAGTATAACATTGCATAATATTGTAGTATGTAGTATTATAAATGATGCACTAGAGCATGATTATTTGAGACATAGTGTTGCATAGAAAGTAGCGTGGTACAGCATAGAGTGTCATAAGACGATGTGACATTGCATAAGCAACTTATACAGTATTAAATAGCGCAGTAGAGAATAAGATCTAGATTATCATAGAGCATCTCGCTCACTGGGTGAGCATAGGTGAATTTATTAACATTTGTTGCTTGGTCAGTTGTGGATGTTATGATGAAGAAGTCCCATTGAATTTTAAAGTGTATTCAGGATTGTTGGCAGGAGCGCATTCAGTCGGCCGGATTACGTCATCTTGACCTAGGTTTCAATGCTCTGATGTCACACTCGCTCAATATGGGAATAGGTTTTGAACCATTCATTTCGTGCATGAAAACTGTGAGATTTCTTACGGTTGGCTGAGCATAATTCAGCTTTTGAGCAGCATCATAGGCTTTATTCAATAGACTGAAGATCTCGCTTGGCCATAAGTGGCGCAGTCTAATCTTCTCATCGCCCTTACCAAAAAGCTTACTAGTGCTTACTGAAGCCAGTTTGGACGCGTTCATCATGCAATGGTCACGAGTGCTTGGAGAAGACAATTTGAAGACGAATGCTCTGGTATTTTCAGGAGTAGGTCTGCGTCTATGTTTAGGCCTCCATGGACGAGTGTTAACCATGAATTTATTGTAGCTTTTAAGTCCCATGGCTTTGAAGACTTTGTCGAGAGCTTCCTCGTCCGTCATTTCGATGTCTGTCGGAACTCCAGTGAGAAGGATCTCACACGGGTCCGATACATAAGAGTTAGCTGGTGTAGACACTGAACTCGGAGGGGTAGAGGCGGGTATAGAGCTCAACGACTTCTTGACCATGACAATGTCAGCACGAATATCGGCTAATTCAGCTGCCTGGTCCTCCGAACGCAGCTCCTGAGCTGTTATTCTGCCTTCAAGCCGAGTTATCGATGATTCGATCGTCATAAGGTGCGTAGATAGCTTATCGAGCTTCGCGTCGAGGCGCTGGAGAAAGTCAGCAAGCTGTGGTGGTAGTTCCTGCTGCAGCAAATTTCCTGTGCTTGCCATTTTGAGCCAAATTGCAGATTAGAAGAAAAGAAGAATCCCAGGCGTAGCAGAAGTAAAACAGGTAGTCTCGCGTTGGCACAGAATAACAGCTATACGTGAAGGTAGCAGAACTCTAGGCTCCTCCATTCACCCTAACCTTAGCTCAGTACACAGGTGTCGCTCCGGTGGAATTTGCCATGTGGTGGAAAACTAACCTTGAATTGTTCAGCACGCAGAAGAAATTGTTATTTATTAATTGCAGGGTCGAAGATGCAACAATCCAATTGGTGCACTAGGAACCTTGCAATTTTTGGCATGCAAGAACTGAAGAGAGAGAGAGAGAGAGAGAGAGAAGGGGTTCTAACAGGGCTTTACCCTGCCTATCAGTATCCGTGCTCTCCCAGACTTCGTGTTGCTTGTTGGCATCGCACCGTATGATCAATGTCAGGGCTTCTGATTGGCAGGACTTACCTAGCTTTTTCACCTCGACGGTAGGTGACTCCTCCCGTGAGTTGAATGGAAAGTAGGCTGAAGCCACCACCATCTGTCTCGATAGTGTGTACATAAGGGCTTACACAATTTTTTCAACCCTTAAATCAAAATTGCAATTTTGCAAATAAATTTCAAAACAAATAATAATCATAGATAAAGTTGATATAATTACTTGCAAATCCATACCTAGGGGGTTTTTAAACGTGTTATTTCAGGCGCTCTTTTTGGCGCCAATCGATATTTTCCGTGTTATTGCACATTTTGTAGTATTTCAGATATCCTTGACTATAGGTAGCCCTTAAGACAATTTTTGACTGATCTTTAAATTTTCTATATTTTTTACAAACTTGGAAATTTTATGTTTACTTAACGTTTATTTTTTCGCAGCATGTGGTGCAAACCGGTATGACAGCACCTTATGGTGGTGGAGTCTTTCCTCCTCAAATTAATAGAATCGGATCTATAATGAGTTCTACAAACGTAACCAATGATGCCAAACCTTTATCAATAAGCATCAAGGATGAAAATTTGGGTAGTCATCAACAATCAACTGCTGTTCAAGTTACTCAAGCCAATCCATCCACACAATGCTCCACTAAAGCCCAATTATCACAAGGAAATTTCAGTCCACCATCCCCTTCAAATGAAGTCGAACAACAAGCTATGGTAGGACTTTCATAAATGGCTTTAAAGTAACAAAATAATTTATCAAAACCTAATTTTAAACTTACCTATAAACTTTTTCGGAAAGTCGCATGCTTAAGGTGAATACAGGAGTCCCTGGTTATACGCGGGTTTATTATCCGCGGTTAGTCGATTTGCGCCCATCCCTTCGTATCCGCGGGTCGAGTCTTGTTACCCGCGGATCGAAGATCGTGATTTTTTTCTCGGACGTATCTATATTCAGTTTGAATTTGGTTAGTGTAGACGCGTAAATCGAAATTGTCAATTAACCTAAATTTGTTGAAAATTTATAAATTTATTTAAGTATGGCTTCATCTAAAACTCCGTCGAAAACTGCCTCAAAAACCACTGGCAGATCAGACTGATGATGCACCTGAACCGATTTTTGATTCGAAACTGATTGTCGAAGTTATGGTTCTAGTTATTCGAGCAGGTGAATTAGCAATGACTGATGATCTAATAATGACGCGTAGCTTGACTTTCAAACACTACTGTGATTTAGCTGCACAAATTTATGAAGAAATGCACAAAGATATTTTGAGACGAGCAAAGCAGAAAAAATTAACCGATTACTTTCAAAATTAAACATAGAATTGCATATATGTGTTGTTAATATAAATAAACATATATAAATAGATAAACTACTCAACAAATACGTTTATTTGTAGGTAAAATGTACATATAAACTGTGCTTTCTCGAGGTTGAGGAACGTAACCCTCTCTTTCCCATAAGAGCAAGGTCTTATTATCCGCGGTTTTGTTATACGCGGTACTTTTGAGGAACGTAACCCCCGCGTATAACGAGGGACTCCTGTACATAATATGAGTGAAAAGTTGGTTGACAAATGTTCTTACAGTTATCATATGCAAAAAGAAAAATACGTATACTTAATTGTTTTTTGACGCAGCTAAGTTATTTTCATACAAATTGCCTGATTTTATTATATAATTCATATTCATTGCGATAACTCTCGAATAGATAAATCAATGAAACCAAATTTTCCAGGATAAGCACTGAAAAAAAAAATCTTGCAATTACTCACAATATTCAACTTTCATTGACTCTATTTAGTTTTCGGTTTGTGCTACAACCCCTCGTTATGCAAGAAAAGCATATCCACGTCTATTGCTCAAAGTACTACAATTCTAAATAAATTATTCAAAAAAAAGCCATTTGAATTTCACCTTGCGACAAAAAAATCAAAATCGTTTTAGAATATTTGTCATTTTATGCATTATAATTTTTCCGTTAAAGCACACAAAGAAGATATTACATTTAAAATATGCTAAGAGTACATACATCGCATCTGAGTCAGTAAAATATAGTTTAATTAAAAAGCAGAGAAACGTCACGAGGACCATTTTTTAACCCATTAACGCGCAAAAGTGCAATTTTGTGCATGAATTTTCCGTTGTAAAAAAATTATGGATAAAGTTAAAATATTTTCTTGAAAATCCATATCCAGGGGTTTTTGGGTATGCTCTTTCAGTATCCGGTGTTATTTTTGCGATAAATAAACATTATCATCGTTTATTTTGCCATTAAAAACAAAAAACGTGATTTTTTGACTCACAATTTTTTTTCAAAGTCGATTTTCTACCTTGCCTTGCCTTCGGAGGGTTCCCATAACACCAGAAATCGTGCACTTTTTCTCTGAACCTTCAAAAAATGCGCTGCCGCGATTTTTATCTTGCCCCTATATTTCTAAAATGGCGAATTTATACCGGGCAGTGGTATAAAAATTCACTCATTTTTTACTCAGAACCTATTTTACATGCGCTAAATATGAACTCAAAAGTACAATTTGGAGTGTGAAAACTTATTTGAAATCGTTTAGAGAATACGTGTGATTTTTTTCAGAATTTTTCAGACCACTTTGAAAATTTTGCAAAATACGACTATTTCCCGGCCGGTCGAAAAAATCCAAAATGTTCCAAAAAAATCTGAAAAATTCTGAAAAAAATTATTTAAAAATTCTGAAAAAAATTCACATGTATTCTTTAAACAAATTTGAACGCTTTTCATTGTATGACTTTCTTTTATAAAGTCAATAATTTACAAATAAAAAATGTGGCAATTTTCATATCGCTGCTCGGTATAAATTACCCATTTTAGAAATATAGGGGCTAGATAAAAATCGCGGCAGCGCATTTTTCGAAGGTTCAGAGAAAAAGTGCACTATTTCTGGTGTTATGGGAACCCTCCGAAGGCAAGGCAAGGTAAAAAATCGACTTTGAAAAAAAATTGTGAGTCAAAAAATCACGTTTTTTGTTTTTAATGGCAAAATAAACGATGATAATGTTTATTTATCGCAAAAATAACACCGGATACTGAAAGAGCATACTCAAAAACCCCTGGGTATAGATTTTCAAGAAAATATTTTAACTTTATTTATAATTTTTTTACAACGGAAAATTCATGCACAAAATTGCACTTTTGCGCGTTAATGGGTTAAGATCTTTATCTATCTTACAAATATATTAATCGAATAAACCTGTCAGATGCGATTCAAAATATCGTTTTTGAGCCTATAACAAAGCTTCCTCTAGGAGGAAGCAATACTTTGTACAGTATCCTATATACTGCAACGGGCAGCTTAGGCCTAACGGGTAATTAACTCCCCTGCTCCTCCTCAGGCTTCACGTCTAGTTTCTTTTTTCAGATATTCTTAGTTGGCGTTGAAAAAAATAATTCGAGTGAGATAATCTATATAAGCTAATAAAAATTTAAGGGCTCAATGGGGGCTAAAATAATTTTATATTTCTATTTATAATATTAAGCTGAAAAAGTGAAAAAAACTATTTTTTCAGAAAATAGGCCTCAGAGCCTTTTTTAATACCCTATAAATGTTTATCGATGAAAGTCTTTCAACTGATACCAGTTTTTTAAACTGTTTATAAGTATCTAACTGGAAAAAGTACTTTCAAATAAGGTATTGAAAAGGCTCTTATGCTTGTTTTCGAAAAAAAACAGTTTTTTTCACTTTTTTAGCTTAATACTATAAATACGAATATAAAATTATTAGAGCCCCCTTTTAGCCCTTAATTCTTCAATCTAAATTGCTACAATGGTAAATCAATCCTAATCGTATATTATTTTCAGTCTGAAGTTTTTCAAGCAGCAGTTGCGGCTGCTGTAGTTGCGGCTAACAGCAATGTAAATCAACAGGCTGTTTCTACTACCGTTACTAATGACATCGATTCGGATACAAATGCAGATGCCAATTCTCTCATCCCAGCATCTTCGAATGCCATGACACCATCTATACAAACCCAAATAAATGAATCCAAAGGCCAACCTAAAAGATTACATGTCAGTAATATCCCTTTTCGGTTCAGAGATCCTGACTTACGAGCTATGTTCGGGGTAAGTAGTTTGATAGCTAAACCTTCTTTTTGATCTTTGATCAATTTTTTAAAATTTTTATTAAATATTTTCATGAAAATGGAAATAGTCTAATTATTATAAGAATTATTACACAAATAGAATAATAATGCCTTTGAGGATTCTTATTTACTGATTGAAACTTGTGATATAGAATCTATATCATAATAGTACTGTACTATACGAGGGCTATAAATAACACTTTACGGCATGGTGTAGTTTGGAGCCCTAGCGCAGCGAGGGTTAATAGCTAATACTAAAAAATATTCATAAAAAGCCAATTATTATTATTATAAATCAAAATTTGTGCAAAGTTTTGCTTTTATGAGGTTGCTGCGGGTAACTCGCTAGTAAATAGAGTGTTGGGGCAGTAACATGGGTTAAATTAGCACGGTTTTGGAAAGAAGAGAACTTTTTCTATAATTTCTTGACCCGCTTTTCGTATGTTATAGTACATGGTAAAAAGGTTCCAAAAAAAATTTTTAGACCCCCTTTCCCCTCCTACCCCCACTTCCAGTATAAACGTCCATTTCCGATCAATATTTTTTCTGAGGACATGAAGCAATTAAAAAATCTGAAATATTCACGAAAATACTTTTCAATAATGCAAACAACCTTGAATTTTTTCAGATTTTTTGAGTGCTTCAGGCCTTCAGATTAAATCATTAAAAATTCTGAAAATCGAGATATGGTGATATGAGCCGATATAGTAAACGGAAATTTTTTCAGTTTTTTATCACATAACCTCAATTTTTTTCAGATTTTTTCAGATGACCTAACGCACCTTTTGAAGCCCAAAACCGCATTTTTTGACGAAAATAATTTTTTTAGGGCGCAACGGAGCCTCGAAAAATCTGGAAAAATTTTTTCCTTGTTTTTTTCATCAAAATACATGATCTCAAATTTTTTCAGATTTTTTAATGAAAGGCAATAGCTTCTAGGGCCGAAAAATGATATTTTCAACAAAAAAAGGTTCCTAGAATCCGATGGTTCCGGTAAAAAAATTTGAAAAAATTTTTTTTGAATTCCTTGACAAATTTTATAAAATTTTTACCGTTTCAAAAGTCCGATTGAAGCTTCCTAGCTCAATCTAAAGCATCACAAAGATTCGTGAAAAATATCTGAAGACGTTTCTGAAGCCATCAAGAAATGATGAAACTAGTTTGATGCTCTGGATCAATTTGACCTCCCGAACTCTTATATGCCCAAGCCAGGCAAAATGTTGCGAAAAACGCGATCAAAGTTTCGAAAATTAACATAGGCTTATATGAGAATTCATTCATATTTACAATTTATGAAAAGAAATCAAAGTGTGCACGGGAATAATTACACAGGCACACAAAAAAAAAAATGCTCAGTCCCAGAGACCGGACCCAGTAGACTTTATGTTTTTGGGGTCGCTGAATCCGAATCCGTCGTCGGTTTTTCGCCATCAGATCGATTTAAGGTCATTTGAAGGTCATTCAAAGGTCAAATCATGTAAAATAGGTTTTAAAATCTGAAACTATTCCTACATAGGTTTTTGAGGATGCTGAATTCAAATCTGAAGTCAGATGACCTCTACGACCTTACCTTCAAGGTCATTTGAAGGTCAAACTTAGAAAATGCGATATAAAAATCCGAAAAATATATTTTTTTATGTTTTGAGAGTCGCTGAATTCAAATTCAAGGTCATTTTGACTCAATGTTGACATCTAAAGGTCATTTAGAGGTCATTTGAAGGTCAAATCATAAA